GTAACCTACTTCGTAAGGTAAGTATTAAAAGTAAAGTTACGTTACTTAACGTAAACACGGTAAGTAGGTACAGACTAAAATTTAAATTAAAATAAAAAAAAAAACGTGTAGACAAACAGCTTATTTAGGTACTTTGCAAAGGAGCCTGTCCAAATACCAGAGGATGCACATTACATTACTCAACAGGAAAAACAAAATTAAAACAGAATAAAAAGTGACTACATACACACCAGCATTGCAAGCATTAAAAACAAAACTAACAAAAACCACCCTGTTTCTGTAAGGTTGTAAGGAAACAGAATTTCTCATACATGGCTAGTGGGAGCAGGAATGGGACACCGGTATTTCAGAAGGCAGCTTGGCAGTCTGTACAAAGCTGAACATGCAGATACGGCCTGTATTCCAGCAGCTCCATTTCTGCACATGCCCACTGGAGAGGTACATCCATGCATTGACCTGTTGTGCAAGAACTTTTATAGTAACATAATCCATAACAGGCCCGAAACTGGAGACCATCTAAACACATGTTCCATCATGCAACAGAGCACCACGCTGCAGTGAAAAGGCGCCAGCTGCTGCAGCACATAGCAGCACGGGCGGATGAAGTTCTCCTGTACCTAACTGATAGTTATGTTAACACCTGAGTCTGAGTGTGTACAAACTTGCACTGTTCTGTTAGAATTGCTTCTTTTGGTAAATGTATTTCTTTCTACCTATGACTATCACTGATGGTTTTAAATTTTTTTTTAAATAGGATATACTTAAATCCATTGGTTCAAGAATGAAGAAGTCAATAGAAGATGATGTTTTTATTCCTCTGTATCCAAAGAGGTAAGGGTGGCTAATTTCTAGATTGTATGAAATGGTTAATCATGTATTACAGATGAGAGTGCAGTAGAAGAAACTAAGCATGTTAAGTGTTTTCAAAACACACATACCTATTAAGATGCTAATTGAGATTTCAACAAATATTTTTCAGTCACCTTTTATATGCCAAGTATGATCCATGGCACATTGACATAGGTTTTGGGCGATGTTTTTGTGACTTAATATTATTCTTAAGAACAAGACAGTTGACATAGCAGAGTGGTTAGATTCTGGAGCCCAGATTCACCATTACTAGATGTTTGACCTTGGGCCCGTCTGTGCATCGGTGTCCTTGTGTAGAAAGTGGGGCATTAAAGTAATGCCTGTGTCACAGGACATTGTGGAGATGAAGAGAATGCTCAGAACAGTGCTTGACACAGAAAGCACAGCCTAAGGCCTGGACATCACTGAGGGGCCAGAACTGCATCTGCAAATTCTGTATTTACTTTAAGGGATAAAACAAGCAGTATTTGATGCAATTCGTACATTGGCTAAGAAAGCACCAGTTGCAGAAATGGGTCTTGAACTGCAGCTACACAGAGTGAGCACTCACAGGGCGGAAGAGCTTTGTGCAGAGAAAAGAAAGGGACTTCTAAGCTTTCTGGTTAATTTGAATCCTGAAGAGACGTGTGCATGTAAAAATTCTCCATTAGGGTTTGTAATGTTTTAGATAACTAATCAGTTCACATATGAATGTGTGTTTTTAAATTTTTATTTGTATTTAAAATGGAAAATCTTATTCCCTCCCATTCCTGACCTCCATCAACCCAGTTTCTGCCCGTCGTCCTCTATACAGACACATGCTTGCAGTAATACTGTTAGTAAACCTTTTCACCTTTTCAGAACTCCTCTATCCAATTAGAATTAAAGTTATAAATAAAATTTAGAATTAATCTTTTTCCTTCCTTTTTATAGCAAAGTAAGTAGATCGCGAACAGTCATAAGCATTGTTGTGCACCTTGCTTTTTGACTTAGTTCGTCTCTGAGATCGTTTTATGTCATCACATAAGTAGTTCCCTCATTCCTCTTCAAGCTGCGTAATACGCCATCATACAGACGTACTGTTGACTGATGAGCATGTAGTGGTAAACCGTCACTAACAGTGCTGTGAATGGTTTTATGGGCGTACTGTTCTGCGCATGTGCAGATGTATCTACAGAAAGCCTTCCCAGGGATCTGCTGAGTCAGCGTGTGCGCGCACTGGTAATTTCAGTAGATATCGTCAGAGCACCTCCATTTATATTGTTAAGGTTTAGTTTGGTTGGTCTCAAAAAAACAAAACCACTATTTTTTAAACTCTGTTTCTGAAAGATGAACAGTCATTTTCATTTACTCCTTTCTCTTTCTTTTACTTCAAATTAGTGCTGTAGAGAACAGAGCATCACCACATTCAAAGTTCCAAGAAAGACAATTCTGGTCAGGCCTAAAGGTAAGCAGAAAACTGCAAAAATAAAAACAAAATTTGTTCTTTTATGTCAAGTTTACTGTAGAGTGGAGATCAGCAAAATTCTTCTATAAAGGACCAAATGGTAAATATTCTAGGCTTTGCAGGTCAATATAAACGCTGGACTGTTCGACTCTGCCGCGGTGGTGCAAAACTGTGTAGACAAATGAGCGTGTCTGTGATTCAGTAAAACTTACAGACGCTGAAGTATGAATGTCGCACTTTGCATATGTCACAAAATGTCCCTTTTTTTCCCCAATCATTTAGAAGTATAAAAACCATTCTTAGTTCACCAGCTCTAAAGAAACAGGCAGTGAGCTGGATTTAACTGACAAGTCACAGTTGTCTGACCCGTGGTCTAGATGATAAAGGATGAAGTCATTGCTAGGTCAGTGGCAATAGGGATGGTAACGAGAAGCTGGATTCAAAAGGTATTTAGGACGAAGAATTGAAAGAACCTGATGACGAATTAATCACGTGTGAAGAATGTAGGATGCTAGCCAAGTTCCTGACTTTGGCAGCCTGGCAACTTCTGATGACATTCTTTGAGGGCATCGGAGGGGTTGCAGGAAGACGTAAAGGTTTGGGAGGAAAGATAAGATCTGTTTTGGACATAGTGAATCTAAGATACCTATGGACAAATACAGGAATAGAAGTCTTGGAGCCAGTTGGATAGTTGAATGTGAATTGCAGGGGGACAAATCTTAGCTGGAGATTGGGGAGTCAGCCACGTAATGGGCAGTATTCGGAGGCATGGTCATGAATGACAACCTCTGGGGAGACTGGGTGAAGCATGACAAGAAGGCTGAGGATATACCCTTGGGAAATGCTGGCGTAAGAGGTGGGCAGAGAAAGTGGAGTCTTCAGAAAAGGCTCAGGATGAATTGGGAAACTAAGAATGGTCACAGGAGAGTGGCATCAGAGACACGAAGCAAAGCACTTTCAAGAACGAAGGCAGAGTGTTAATGCTGCTGAAGAGAATTAGGAGAAAGACTTAACAGCGTTTACTGGATTTGACAATTAGCAGGCCACGGGCGACCTCAGCAGTAATAGTTCCGATCGGGTGAATCAGTGTTTGTCCTACGGTTGAGTCAGGAAGAGGCTTCTCAGGAAGAGGAAGCATGATGACAGTGGCACGAAGTGTGAAAACACTGCACGTTAGCGCGGCTGCATGTCGTTTAGCGCCGGAGGCGATACGTGCAGGACTGTAAAGAAAGTGGGAGCTAACCATGAAGTTCACAGAGGGGTCTGGATTTAGAGGAGGGGAATGCCACCCACACTAATTTTATTAGAATTTCTTAAAAGTATTTTACCCAGGGCATCTCCAGCCTCAACATTATTACTAATCTTGTTTTCTGTACCAGAGCACTGGGTTTTCGGGTTTGCCTGGTCTCTCCGGGGCGCACAGTGGTAACCGTGACCCTGGCTGTAGCCGCAGTCCTATATGAATCCTGGGGCCCTGCAGCCTTGCAGCCCCCGACTCCAGGAGAGCATGGACGGAGGAGGAAGGTTACTGGTTTGGACAGGCTCCAGCAAGGCTGTTTGAAATGGATTTTGAGCGGTGTTCCTAAAAACTGAAAATGGGATGAGCAAATCCATGGGGGTTGGAAAGAATCATGTGTTGATTGAGAATGCTTTGTTGATTCTAAAATTGACAGTTCCAACAGCGCTAATTGTAGTGAGAGTTCAGAAGAGTTTGACCAACTTTTCCTGTTTGTTGGAGACTGTTGCAGCTTTCTTTTGGAGAAAAGGCACACAGTCACTTGACATTTTACTTTATTTTAGCTCTTCCACAATGTTCTTCTTTGGAACGGACTCCTCTCAGAAGGCACTTTGCGGGAGCTAGGACTAGGGAAGCTGCTGAACCGTTACCTCGTTACAGCTCTTCTTAATGCCACACCTGGGCCAGAGGTTGTTAAAAAGTGCAGCCAGGTAAGTTGTGTAGAAACTGATTCTAATTTTACCGTTTTTAAAATTTAGTTGTTAAAATCAATTTTGTGGCAAAGAAATTAAAAGTTTGTGGTACCCACATAATAACAAACAGTCATTACCAGACAAGAAACCCAGAAGCAACCCAGTATTTACAAAATGAATGTTAGATCCTCACCTCTCACTAAATACCAGTATAAATTTCAGATGAAGCAAAGAATTAAGTATAAAAAAAGTTTTTTTAAAAAGAATTAAGCATAAAAAAACTATGAAGGGAGGAAGGATATAGTTCAGCAGTAGAGCATGTGCTTAGCAGGCAAGAAGAGGTCCTGGGTTCAATCCCCAGTACCTCCATTAACATAAATAAGTAAATAAATGAACAAAACAAAACAAAAAAAAAATAAAATAAAATGTTTTTAAAAACACTACGAAGTATTGTACTCAGAAAATAAATGACTATATCTGATGTTAAGGGAGTCCTTTCTGATCTTAAACACAAATAGAAAAAAGAAATGATGAGAAAAAGTAATAGATTTGACAAAAATACAAGACTTTAGTCAGCCGAAAAGCATTAACCAGAAAGGTATCAGGACTATTTGATTATTATTAAAACTGGAAGTTAGGTTCATTCGTCTCACTACACTTATTCTTTCTGCTGTTGCTTATGTTTGAAATTTTCTATAGTAAAAATTTAAAAAGAAAGGAAATTGAAAAATGAAGAAAAAAGTTATAATGCATAATGAGGATTAATACCCACATTTTTAGAAAGCTCTTTACAAATCAGTGAACAATTCGGATATTCTGACTGAAAATGACCAAAAGACATGCAACAGGCAATTCAGCAAAAAAAAATGCAAAAATAACGTCTAAGCATGTGGAGAAGCTTACCAATACTAATCTGAGAATTGTAAATAATACAGTTAAGGATATTATTGTACCTGTTGTGCTGCCAAATTTTTTTGCTGTTACATTTATTACAATTCCCAGGATTGTCATAAGCACAGGGAGACAACAGCCCCTCGTTCCGGGGACACCGTGCGTCTAGAACGTGTGGTGCAGCAATCCTGGGAAGCAGTTTCTGCATTGTGGAAGGAGGAATGCACCTCCGGGGACTGTTCTGGCATGACTGATACGAAACCTTTAAAGTTCATACCCTTTTACTTAGCAAGTTTACTTCTAGGAAATTACCCTAGGTTAAAAAACCAGATGGACATAAGAATGTTAAGTACAAAGAATATTATTACAGCATCATTTATAATAGACAGTTGGGAACAACCTAAATATCTAAAAACATCATCTATGCATAAGATGAAAGTCATGTGGAAAAGTTTTTAAGAATGTGGGATAATACTTACATTGTAATATAAATTTTTAAAATATAGATATAATGTTAGATGGCAGTTCCTAGACGACTGTCATTTTTCTAGCTATGGTTTTCATATCATGTAGTTTTAAACTATATTATCTACCAAAAAATTAAATCATCATCCATCCTACGTGTGTTTCGGGTTCAGCTTAGCCCCTTTTGACCACGAGGCTCTACTGTGGGGAAGTAAGGAAGAGGATATATGACATTCTGTCCACAGCTTGTGGCTAGAAAACCAGGTGAAGACGATGCGGCTCTAAGTCCCAGCGTCATTCACAGCAAAGCTAGATAGTTTTTTCAGAATTTTATTGAGACTTGTGACAAAACAAGGGGAAAGCAAGTGCAAATGACACTGAATGCCAAGCCAATGAAGGCTGGTTTTGAAACTTTAAAAAGATACAGTTTGCATAACAAAGCTTTCAGGTCTTTCTGCCTTAGGCAATCAGTGTGTCTGTATTTTTTTTCTGGATAATTGAAAAAGGTGATTAAGAAAAAGGACAAATCTTTTTCCTGAAGTCTGTTTTCAGTGTTGACCAATCAGATTTATTTTAGAAAGAGTGCATTCCAGAACTTTGATTTGACATGTTTTGTAATATATATGTGGTGCAACTTTCTACTTTCTAGAAGTACGGATCAACTATAGCATAACCTGTTTATCCAAGAATTTCTTTGAACAGTATGATCTAAGACTTTTCATTCCTCCCATTCTCTCTCCTTTCTTTAAAATTCTTCCTTCTGCTATGAGGAAGTTTTTCTTTTCTATTTTGTCAAAATTTTTCTGTTTTTTACCAGAACTTTTCCCCAAATCATGTATTACCTTTAGCATCATTGTGTTGTGTTGGGTTTTTTTTTTCCCCAGAAGAAAAAAATGAGTACACATACATTGGCTTTTTATGCTGCTGTCAATATTTAAACCAGTGTTTTAAATTAGAAAGAAATCAAAACCATAATGAATTTTTTTATTCAGTGAATCTTAGAATCAACTTCTTGATTTCTTAACTAATTTTTTTTTGTGGATTATACATGAGATTACCCAGTTTCCTGTTGTAAAATAATACCAAATCTACCTATTTTTTTACAGTTGACTCTTGAACAACACAGGTTTGAACTACATGGGTCCACTTACATGAGGATTTTTTTTCGATAAACACGTACTACAGTACTGCACGGTCCACGGCTGGTTGAATCTGTGGAAACAGAACTGCAAATACGGGGGGCCGACTGTAGAGTTAATACACGAGTTTTTGGCTGCATGTGGGTTCCTCCCCTAACCCCCTGCGTTGTTCAAGGGTCAAATGTAGATGTGTAGGTATGCTGACTAAAAGTGTTTTGTGCCTACACATTTCTGGTGTTTACTTTGTTTTATACGATTTAATTGCTCAGGAATTAGAGTATAAAAAGTATTATAAGTACTGGGACGTGTTTATAAAAAGTAGTCTGTTTTAAGCTCTGGGTATCAAAATTTTTTTTAAATATAATACCCTGAAAGGAGGGAAATTCTGTTTATTTAACCTTGAACTATGAAACAGAAGAATAATACACAGCCTGCATGAGTGCTGAAGATTAAATGATATTATGTTAGCAAAAGTCTTTAGATAATAACTGTCATTATTAAAAACCAACCTTGTGTTTTGATTATCAGATAGCAGCATATTTACCAGAAGAATGGTTCAAAAATTCTACCATGAGAGCATCTATTCCCCAGCTAGAAAACTTCATCCAGTTTTTACTGCAGCTGGCACAGAAATTATCTAGAAGTGAAATCAGGTAACACATATTTTATTTGTACCTTCATAAGCACAGTTGAGGGTTCTAGTGTATTCCCAACAATTTTTAGAAAGATTTTTACTTCTGAAAAATCTGTTGATTTGCAGATACTAACTACTAAGATAGATAAACAAGTTTATACTGTACAGCACAGGGAACTATATTCAGTATCTTATAGTAGCCTATAATGAAAAAGAATATGAAAACAAATATGTGTATGTATATGTATGCTGTGCACCAGAAATTGATACAACATTGTAAACTGACTATACTTCAATTAAAAAATAAAAAATAAAAAAGACTGGCAAAAATCTGTTGAGACTATCATGGTAGAGTTAGATATTTTTATGTGTGACCTGTGAAATCGCTCAATATTTTAGACTACCTCATGCATTAGTTCGTATTTTTAAATGTAAATCTCTTCCAGAATAAGCACTTCCAGAACACCGTATCACAGGGCAGTTTAGAATTAAAACTGTAAATCGAAAGCCTCTTTATTTTTTCACTGAGGTACAGTCAGTTTACAGTGTGTCAGTTTCTGCTGTACAGCACAAAGCTTCAGTCATACATGAATATACATATATTCATTTTTGAAAGCCTCTTAATAAGTATGTTTTTAATGTCTCTTTATTTTTCCTGGCCATTTCAAAATCTCAACACTTGTTTAAGTACAGATCTGCAGCCTGGCGTTCACCCAGCAGTAGCTAGATCTTCGTTTTGGGTGTCTCATTCACAGCGCTAGATGTTTAGGGACTTAAGCACAGTGGTGTTCTGGTAAACCACCTCTCCAAAAGAAAAAAACCTTAAAACCTCAAATTTGTAGCTTTTGATGATATCTGTGGGATAAATACTCCCACTGTGATAGCCCATGTGAGCTGGTAGCACCATACCACAACTCAGATTTCTATGACAGATTGCTCTTCGCTTTTCTGCTTTTTCAGTCATTCACATTAAAATTTACCAGAATACATCCACTAATGGTCTGTATTTGAACCTCATGGTTATGTGGAGGAGGTAGCATCTTAACAGTTGATGCTATTTTAGATACTGGTATAAGGTAAAGTTTCTGTTTCAGATTAACAACTGATGATTCACTGTGCCCTTATACATTGCATTTCTATGAGGGAAAATGCTTTTTGTTTTGGTTTTTTTCAGGGATGAAGTCAAGGAAATAACTCTTATTCTAGTGAAAATAAAAGCTTTGAATCAAGCAGAATCCTTCATAGAAGAACATAACCTAGACCATCTAAAATCAGTAATTAAAGAAGTTTGAGGAGACTTCATATGAAGGTACTGAAATGAGATGTTAATATAGTCACACTCGGCTCTTTTGCTTGGAGGGGGGTAAAAAAGCTGTCGCCTCTTCTTTATTCTTAGTAACAGAGTGGGGAGGATTTGTAAAAACAAAAAAGCAGGACTCTGAACTTCCGTTCCCTCCACCTTCTACCTTCTGATATCGTGAAGCCTGCCCCTCCTTTGTGGTATTTGCAGGAATTAAGCACACAGGAACATTAAGAGTTTAATATATTTTTGCTTGATTCTTCTGGTGACTTTTCCAGCTTTAAGAAAGGAGTTGAAGAAAGCTTGCTTATAGCTATTTTGGTTTTGGTGAGTTTTCTGTCCTGAACCATAAAAACATTATTAATTCTCTTCATTTTAACTATGTCTATTTACAAGTAAGTTAAAATGAAAATCTTAGTTGGAATGAATTATTAAGTATTTACTGATTAAGGCATTGAGACTTGTGATGACTAATGCTTGTCAGATTGTTCTGAAACCTGCACCAGTGCATTGCACCAGCACAAGGGTAAGAGAGGCCAGTGAGTCTCCACCAGTAATAGGTATTACCGTTTTTTTAACTCATTTGCACTTAATAGGTGGCAAAAATCTTAATTATTTATTTTGACTACTAGAGTGACTACTTGTTTTTTGGCCATTTGTAATTCTTTTTGAAATATCTATTAATATTTTTCTCACAGACTTATAAGAGCTGTATATTTTAAGGATAATCATGTTTTGCCTGTGATATGTTACAGTTTTCCGTTTGCTGTTTTCTTTAAATTTGTGTATGTTTTTGGTGTACTAAGTGTTTGGATGTTACAGATAGTTATTACTCCTTTTTGTTATTTTTTTTTTGTCATTGGTGGTAGGCTTAGATAGGAAACAAGTATTTTAAATATTCAGACCGTATGATTCATTTTCTGATAAAAGATTTAGTAATTTAGAAAGTCTGAGGGACAGTCATTGAATCAAATAGAAATTGAGAACATTTTTCAAAACATTTTTCAAAGTGAGTTTACTAATTTTTCTTGAATCTGTTTAAGTAAGTTGAGCGCAACCCTAAATGGACATTATGTAAATTGTCCAGAAAATAATCAGGAAAATTGATTATATTGTAGAATTTGAGCATGTGGCCTCTAACCTTATCACCGCTAGTTTTGAAGCTGCATGTAATATATTTTAACAGACTGGCATGTAATTTCTACTGCAGTGAAGACTCATAATTCACTGGTATGAACGTTTTTTTAAAGTTTACTTTAGTTCCATAAATTACACAATAAATTCTCATATAGAAGAGTCAAGCCATTGCTAAAAAGGTTTTAACATTCTTAAACAATTATTGTTCCCAGAAGTAACTGCTATTTTCATTTTGTTACCCTTTCAGATCTTTTCTCTTCTTATATGTGTGTGTATACACATACAGCTTTTTATATAAACGGCAGATGCTTTATTGTGTATAAAATTTGTAATTTTTTTTACTATTAAAGTATACATTTGAAATTTCCCTGACTTCTGCATTTCTAATTAAAGGTGTGTTACATGGTCCTTTACATTTTTAACTTTGACAGAGAGATTTCTCTTGCTTTTTGTAGAATGGAAAATATTAGAACCGCTTTAAAACTACAAATTGATAAAAATGCCCACTAGTTTTTAACTAAATTTCATCATGCTTGGAGTTTGAATCTCAAGATATTTATCCATCATATACTATAATTGAGGTTATTCAAAAACATTTTTTAAGCTTGCCTAATCCTCAGTGCAGAATTATTTTTTATTCCCCCCTGTTTTCCTATTTCTGTGAAATGGATGGAATGAAGAAGAGAAACGCAACTAGCAAAAACACACCTTTGAGTTAGCAACTCATCTCACATCTCAGTTCTTTCCCCGGGTTTTTTCAGCTTTTTGTTTACTTAAAGAATGTAAAATTTTTACAGAATCAGACAGATGATTTTTTTTAACTTTTTTCATATGGCTATTAGGAACATTTCAATGGCCATGAAAACATACCTAAGAAAAAACTGAGTCATTTTGGATTTCTTAGGCCTGTGAACAAAATATTTATATAGATGATTCTTAAGAAATACCATGTATGATATGAAACCTGAAAAAGATATTACAACAGAAGAAAATAGCAGACCAATATTCCTCATGAATATAGAAATAAAGTCCTTAAAACAAACTGAACCCAGTGATATATAAAAGGATAGTAATACATCATGATCAAATAGGGTTTATTCCAGAAAGGCAAGGTTGGTTTAACATTAAAAATAAACCATGAACAGAGTAAAAGAAGAAAACCACATGATCAACCCAGTGATTCCTTCTTACAGTATAAAAACAGGAATATAAATTCCTCATAAAGAGCACCTGCAAAAGAACATCCACACTTAACATCATAAATAATGGTGAAGTATTAAAGCAAAGATGTCTGCCCTCACCAATCAAGGCATGAAGATTAAAACTCACTCAAGAGGTAAGAGTCATTATTCACAAATGATAAGATTGTTTCCATAAAAAAGCCTTATGTATTCTACAAAAGAAAAAAATTTCAACCAGAATAAGTGAAGTTAGCAAGATCTTACAGAAATCAAGAGCCCAGGGGTATGCTGGTGGTCTAACTGGAAACTTGAATTTTAAAAACAGTAACTTCAGTAGCAACGAAAAACATCAAACACCTAAGAACAAATGTATAGAAAGACACCCAAGACCTTTGCACTGAGGAATACAAAAATTGCTGAGAAAAAAATTAGGAACTTAAATGAAAGTATACATGTATCATGCTCGTGAATTGGAAAACTCAATTTTTGTTCACGGTATCTTCCTCCTATACTGACTAATAGTTATCCAACCCCTATCAAAATGCTGTCAGGCTTAAAAAAAAAAAACTGGCTGATTAAAATACATTAAAATTAAAATTTATGTGAAAGTACAGAGACCTTAAAATAGCCAAGCTAATCTTGAAACATAAGACCAAGTTGGAAGACTTGCTTTATCTGATTTCAAGACTTACTATAAAGCTACAGTAAGCAAGACTGTGGTATTACGATGAGAATAAATTAATACATCAATGGAACAGAATCAAGAGTTGTTACAGACTTACACGTATACGCTCAATTTTTGACCACAGTGCCAAGTTAATACAGTGGGAAAAGGAGAGTATAACAGTATTGGTAGAACAACTAAATATATGAAATAAAATGAACTTGACCCTTATTTAATATACCCACATGAATCACAGATCTAAATGTAAAACCCAGAAATGAAAGCTTGTAGGGAAAAAAACACTATCTTTGGTCTTGGAATAGGTAAAGATTTTTTGGTATTCTGCATCTTCAGTCCACTGGGAAGTACAAATTAAAACCATAATGATACCATTTCACATCCACTAGAATGACTGAAAAAGACTAACATCAATAAATGCTGCCTAGAATATGAAGCCATTCGAACATCCCTAGGTTGCTGAGGGAAGTGTAAAATGAAACCACTTTGGGAAACTGTTCATCAGTTTCTTACTAAAGTTAAACATTTACTTACCATACAACTCAGCAATACCACTCCTAGGTATCTGCCCAAGAAAATAAAAATACATTCACAAGAAAAGATTATACGAGACTGTTGATAGGAGCCTTACTGATAATATAATAGCCCAAGACTATAATCAAAATGGATAAATGGTAGATTCATAAATGGAAAACAGCATTAGAAATAAACTGTGTACAGTAAGTAAACTTCAAAAGCATCATTAAATGAAAAGTTAGGAAAGAATACATACTTTATGATTCAGGATGTATTAAATACAAGAACAGACATCTAAAATGATCAAAGAATGAAAAAAAAAAACTTTTGGTGGTGATGGAAATGTTCTGTCTTGATTTGTACAGTGGGTACATGGGTATATTCAGTTGTTAGAAACAAAACCCAGTATCTGTGTATTGTACATTAATTATGCATCAGCTTTTTAAAATGCCTTTTAAGGCAGACAAGTGTCTGGAATAGTGAACTGTCTCTGATAGTATTACCAATGGGCTGATCACCACTGAAGACCACACTGACTGCCCTTCTTGATACTGTTTTTGAAGGTCATCGGTGGATGTTAACAGAGGAAAACTAATAGGGATATCGCAGACGTCTTTGCTTTTAACACACACAGTCCATTAGACCAGTAGTTCTCAGCCCTTTTCTGCCCAAACCCAACAAGTTCCCATCAAGAACAGTGCCTTAGAAAAACTGCCCTGGATATTTCAGTATGATCCGCTAACCAGAAATGTCCCAGGAAGATTCTTTATGGCAAATACATTTACGTTGATAATACTCTCTTAAGTACTCAGATTTCATGGAGTTAGTCCAGTCATTGGTTTGTTTTTTTTTTAACACAGATTTTACAGGCATCTTACAAAATGTTAAAAGAGCATTAAGGTTGACTATTCTGAGTATTTTCTTGTATGGTTGCATGACAGAATTAAATGCCTATAGACCCACAGTTCCCAACCTAATCTGAGATACCCTGGGGCACCACTGTGAACTCAGAGGCATTGTGGGACTTTTTGTGTGTGGGAAGGTGAGGTACATTTTAAATTTTCAGGGGACATTGTCAACCACTGGAGCCACTGAGCCTACAGTTACTCCAGTGAGAAAAAAGAGCCCAAGATGGACATCCAGCTCCCTCAGCATTGGTCACTTCTTGGGAGTTCCACTCTGGTCTCACTTTACAGGGAAAGCATGGTTGGAACACTTGGAAAGCTGTATAACCAAGCAATGCTCCAGCAGACAGAGCAGTAGGCAGAGCTGGTCATCCACAGAGCAAAGCCAGTGACACCAGTCAGCCAGGGAACTTGGGGTGAGAGTTGGCTTGAGTCAAGACCACAAACATAGCTTTTCTAGACTTGGAGTTGGTTCCCTTTTCCTGCCCAGGCAAGGAGGTAATTCATAGCTTTGCCCTCTGCTGAGTGTAGCTCCCAGTCCCTCCCAACCAGAAATCTTGGCTAAAACAACTGGAAAACTGGCCCAGCAGCAATCCAACAGACTGGCAGGCACAGCTGATCATCTGCAAAGCCAGTGACCTCATATGGCCAGGGAACTTGGGGCAGGGATTGGCCTGAGTCTAGACCATGAAGATCCTTACCAACCTTGGATCTGATTCTTCCACTCTGCCTGACAAGAAAATTAATTTGTAGCTTTGTCCACCCAGCCAGTGAACCTAAGCAGAGCACTTGGGAAGCTGCACAGCCCATCCACCCATCTAGCAGCTCTGCTTACAGTGGCACTTGAACACAGATCCAGGTCATCATTTCCCTGTCTGCAGAAGTAGTGGCCCCATCTAGCCAAGGAATTCAGCGTACTGTCTTACCCGATTCAGGTCCCCAAACAATAAGCTGTATAGGACCTCGGACCTACCTGGTCAGGTAAGCTAACTGCTGAATATAGTACCTAGTCCTGACCATATAGTAGCCCCAACTGGAGAACCTGTACGGCCTCGCATGGGCAGGGAACCAAGCCAGATGTCCTTTCACTTGTTCTCAGCCAGTGACATTCCCCAAATCTCAGATCTCAGGCTGTGGTCTCGCCCCAAAATAGACCCTGATAGCAAGACGCACATGCCCTAAGATATTACCAGTTGACAGGTCCAAAAGCCAAAATGAGCTGACTGCCAAGGCAAACCTATGAAGTCTGGAAGAGGAGACTGCTAACTCAAATGCACCGATAAAATGTAAGGAACAGAGGATCACAAATAACCAATAAGCATGACAGCACCAAAGGAAACTAATAAAGTTCTTAGTAACTGACCCTAAAGAAATGGAGAGCTATAAATTGTCAGGAAAAGAAATCAGAATAATCCTCTTAAAGAAATTTAGTGAGCTACAAGAACACACAACTAAAGGAAATTAGGAAAACAATGCATGAAAAAACAAATTCAACAAAAATAGAAACCATCCAAAAACAAAACTAAAAGGAAAAAACAAACCAACCAACCTGGAACTGAAAAATACAATGACTGAAGAACTCGATAGAGAGCTTCCCAAGCAAACTCAACCGTGCAGAAGAATCAACGATACCTAATCAGACGAGCAAAAAGAAAACAGTGGAAAAAAAATATCTATGGTACTTACGGACACAATGAAAAGAAACAATATCTGCATTATAGGAGTTCCCCAAGGAGAAGAGAAAGAGGGAAAAGTATGTCTAAAGCAATAATGGCTGAAAACTTTCATAACCTTGGGAGAGAAATGGACATTCTGATCCATAAGGTCCCAAGGACACCACCACTGAGTGAAATGATAATTAAATCGTCAAGAGTCAAAACAAAGAATTTTGAAAGTAGAAAAAAAAAAAGTATACAAAGGAAACCCGTAATACTATTGGTGGATTTCTCACAGAAACATTATCAAGCCAGGGAAAAATGAGACAATGTATTAAAAGAATCAAATGAAATAACTGTCACCCAGGAATTCCATACTTGGAAAAGGCATCCTTCAGAAATGAAGGAGATAACTTTCCCAAACAAA